ACCACTAGCCCTCACCCTTGTTACCTGGCCCCGGAATGTACTGCAATGCCAGACAGCTATCTAAAAGATACTGGGAGAAACCAGGGCAATTAGATGAAAGGGTGGATCACTATAATTCTTTACTGCGGGGCAGATCAAACATGTCACAGAATGTATTCCATGACGGAGGTTTCGGAGGTGTTTTCTGAGTACACCAGTAACAAGAATGTCACAATTTTAGTCCTGGCACATTATTCAGGAAAAGCTACTGTGATGGGACCCTCATTTACAGAAAGAGAACTCAGGGAATGGATCCTTTATTTTTCTTTTAAATATTTGGTTTTGGTAATAAATTCTTGTATTTCAAAAATTCAGAGTGGAAAGCCTCCTTCTCATGCCTGCCCCTACCCACCGGTTCTCCTCCCCAGAGGCAACCAATGTTACCAGCTTTTTGTGAATCTCTCCAGAGATACAGATGCAAGGGAAGATCTATACGGGAACGGATCCTTCTGGTGTTGACTGATACATCACTGTGTGGAAGATAAACTCTGGATAAAGAGGTGCCTGAGCAGAGGGCGCAGGGCTGCCTTTCTATTAACCACTCTAAATCCCACAGGGAGTTAATAGATTTAGGTTTTGAATGGCAGGTTTACTTGATACAAGGAGATAATGTCTGGCACTAATAAGAAGAGCTAATAAGTGAACTGCTCTCTATCTAGATTGCATTTAAAGGGCTAGGTAATGATCCACAGCCTGTATGGTTCCCTCCAAGGGTGGCTGGTGCTAAGAGCAACCCTATCTTCTCCATAAGCAATTTTCTAAATGTAAAACATTACCATATTTTGGTATTATTTTGATTAGACTCAGCAGTGTTTACCAAACCTTTAACCTCTTAAAAGAAATACTGAAAACAATTTGAAAATCATAAGCACGATTTTTGTAAGTCTTAGAGCCAAAAGATTTCTCTATTGGAATGAAACTCTAATGATGTAGTACAAATTAATGGAAAAATAGCAGCAGACACTGGCTTTGCTGCCAGGTTTTAAAGAGTACTTAAGCAAGGCATATTTATCTTAGTGACATGAATATTTAATTTTTCCTTAGAAAAATAGACATTTTAGAGAGTGTCAATCAATATATTTTTTGGAAAACTTTTAAAGCTTACCCTTGTTACAAAAAAAAAAGCCTATAATTTTCTTTTGAAATGCAGCTCATCCCTATTTACATCTATTAATATTTACTTAAACAATAAAGATATCAACAGGCTTTTATAGTATACAACAAGTATACTCTAAATTTCTGTAGATGAATAAATACAGAAAAAATAGCCAATGGAATTTTGAAGGTGAAAAAATACCCTATCAGATACAAAAACACACCACAAATCTTTTTGTTTTTTTTTTCTTTTGACAGAGAGAGAAAGAGTACAAGCAGGGGGAGTGGCAGGCAGAGGGAGAGGGAGAAGCAGGCTCCCCGCAGAGCAGGGACCCCGATGCGGGGCTCGATCCCAGGACCCTGAGATCATGACCTGAGCTGAAGGCAGACGCTTAACTGGCTGAGCCACCCAGGCGCCCCTACAAATCTATTCTAATTAAATAGGATGACACAGTGCAAAGACAGGTAACGGATCACTAGAGCATAATAAAGAATCCAGGAACTAATCTATGTGTATATGAGAAGAATTTCACACCAAGGGGGAAGTAACTGGGGCAACTGACTACTGACTTATTTATTTTTGTTTCAAGTTTTTATTTAAGTTCTAGTTAGTTAACATGTAATGTAATATTGGTTCCAGGAGTAGAATTTAGTGATTCATCACTTGCTCATCATCACATGTGCCCTCCTTGATGCTCATCCCCCATCTACCCGACCCCCCACCCACCTCCTTCCATCAACTGTCAGTTGGGGTTCTCTACAGTTAAGAGTCTCTTAAGTTTTGCCTCCCTCCCTCTTTTCTCCCCTTCCCCTACGTTCATCTGTTTTGTTTCTTAAATTCCACATATGAGTGAAATCACATGGTATTTGTCTTTCTCTGACTGACTTGTTTTGCTTAGCAGAGTACACTCTAGCTCCATCCATGTGATTGCAAATGGCAAGATTTCATTCTTTTTGATGGCTGAGTAATATTCCATTGTATACATATACCACATCTTCTTTATCCATTCATCCTAACTACTGATTTAGAACAAAGTAAAGTTAGTTTACTCTCTTCAATCACCCACACAAATAAAATGCCCAATGGATGAAAAAGCATATATAAAAATCGAAGATGACAAATTTATAATCTTGGTCTTCCTCCATAAGACACAAAACAATGAAGTAAATGTAACAAGACAGACACATTTAAATGTGCAAAAATTTAAACAAAAGACCATAAAAAAAGTTAAAACATTAAGAACAAATTGAGGAAAAGTATGGTGACGTATGTAATAAAGAGCCAATATCCACAATATCTAAGGAGTTTTTACTAATCCATATGAAAAAGACAACCCAAAAGAAAACTGGTCAAAGTAAATCAAAAATTAAAAATAAATGGTCAATAAAGATATGTAAAGATGCTCAACCTTACAGAAATTAATGTTTATTCTTTAGACTATAGACCCCTCACCACCACCACCACCACCATCCTGCCCTACCAGTGCTGATGAGGGTGATACACTAGGCATGCTCATAAACTACAAGTTACAGAATAGCATCTTTCAAAATGTAAAAAAAATATACATCCAGTGACCTGGCAAATCCACTCATGTTACTAGTACAGGAATACTAGCGTGTGTGCACAAAGCTATATATATATTTTTTTATGACATTTTTAAAAAAGATTTTATTTATTTATTCGACAGACAGAGAGAGAGAGAGAGCACAAGCAGGGGGAACAGCAGGCAGAGGGAGAAGCAGGCTCCCCGTTGAGCAGGGAGCCCGATGTGGGGTTCGATCCCAGGACCCTGGGATCATGACCTGAGCTGAAGGCAGACGCTTAACCAACTGAGCCACCCAAGTGCCCCTACAAAGATATATTTATAAAGAAAGTCAAGTCACTGTTTTACTAATGAAACACTGAAAATTCCATAACATTCATCAATAGAATAATTGTTCAATAACTTATGGTACATTATCTACAAAATGCCATAAAGTCATTCAAATGAAAGATAAACACTAATATGGAAATATTTTCTAGATGCTGTTTTATGTGTGACTCAGAGGGAGGACATAAAGGCATATGTGCACATAGATGTAGATCATATACACACACCTACATGTTTGCAAATACACAGAAAAATGTCTAGAAGGATCTACACCAAACTTTTACCAGTGATTACCTGTGAGAATAGGAATGAAGTTGAGGAAGGAGGGAGTGAGGAGAGTTTTCATTTTTATTTGATGGATTTTTATACTGTTTGAATGCTTAATTAGAATATATCGTTTGTGCCCATAACAAATATAGATGCAAAAAATAAATGGCCTTTACTCTCCTTGCAACCTTTTTTTTTCCTTGTTCATAGCAAATAACAGAAGAGAAAGAACCTCTTTCAGTATAAATGTTTATTTTTCATAAGCTGGGAACTTCCATAGAAATGCATTTTAAAAAATTTGATTATTTTCTATTTTAGTTTATTCTTCATATAATGTTATCAAATGATAATTAGGTAATCAGATACTATGATTTCTAGGAAAACTATGCAGAAGTCAAACGATCCTGAATGATAAAGAGTAGGTTGAGCACAGTCACTGTATCTCAGGGGTCAGGACTCAAAGGCACAAACACGTGTATGCTATCTTTCCAGTTACCCGGCCAACTCGATGTCACCGTAAATATTCAGCCACCTTTTTTTGATCAACTTTCCTGGAGACGTAAGACCACAGGTGTCAAATATCAGCATGAACTTTCCCTGACCCCACAAGTGGAAGGGAGAAAAGGAGGGACAATAGGTCTGGCTTGATCTGGGCATGTGACTGGTCCAAGAGTCGATCAGGACAGGATGCAGCCCTCAGAGAAAAATCCTACACATCCAGATGGCTAAAAGCCCTGAATGCCTTTATGAATAAACATGATATAGGAAGAACCAAAACAGATACAACTCCCCTAGAAGAAAAGGGAGTTTCTTCTGCAAACCAGACATTATCATAGGAGCAATAGCTTTGGGGCAAGGAGGTCCCTACCGACTTTAGCGGAATTATGAAGTTATCCCATTACTTTCTTTATCACAGGACATGCTCTCAGCATGGACCACCACCACCAACAGGAACCACTGCAGAGACAGGGGCACTATAATGTATGCCTGTCTTGCAGAGGCCGTTTCGAGTCTAGGGAATCAGTGTTTGCTTTCCAGAAAGACCTCCTGTGGTCTTCGCATGTAATCATCTGTCCTGGTATGTTTTTTAACAATTCAGTATTTCAAGATTTAACTGGCATGCCAATTTTTAGGAACATACATGTTATAAAAAAGCAAAGCACATAAACCCGTTAGAGAGAAATAAACAGAACACCTGTGAAGGGCAGGGGTGGGTGGTGGTTAGACTCCATGATCACACAGGTCTCTTCTGGTTTTAGCAGAAGAATAAACTGAACTCCAAGGGTACTGGGAGGAAAAAGGGTAGGATGACCGCAGCCTTCCACAGCAGCAGTAAAAATTAGATTCCTAGTCTAAGTTAGGTCTTCTGAAAATTGAGTTGCTATCTTCTCTAAGTTATGTCTACTGTGAGCCCAAAGCAGACACACAGGTGCCCAAAGTGGCTCTCACCAGCATCTGTTCTGGGCATAAAACTTCAACTGAGTCTCTTCAAGAGCAGAATAAATGATTCTAATCCTTGTCTCCTGGCCCACAAAACAAGACTAAGAAAGAAACCAGAACATAGCCCTTTGGAATGATTCAGACTTCTGTGAAAGAAAAAAAAAAAGACTTAATTTTAGAAATGTTCATTAGATGGTGTTATGCTCATCTGTTTTTAAAAAAAATTTTTTTAACTGTGGTAAAGTACACATAACACAAAATATGCCGAACTGCATTTTGCCCACTTACCTTGTAAACTGTCGACTCTCTTCATGAACTTCCATTTCTGTGCTTTTAAATTCATTTAGTTCTTTCCTTATTGCTGCCTGCATAGGAAAAAAATAGATAAACAGAAATGTTACTTAGGTCACGTAATTCCTCAGCATATACAGCATCAACAAAGCATTCTTTTAAAAAATGTCTTGCAAAAAGAGATTCCTCATTTCTACTAGGTAAAGGTAAGATAAATATAAGATCATACTAAAACCAGGGAAGATTTCCTTCACGTGTCATGATAAGGAGGAGAGGAAGAAGGCCTTTGCTAAACTCATCCTGGGGCCTGGTCTGAGTCACATGCATCCCCCACCCTTGATGACCACAAGGATAGTCCGGGTCATGAGATTTTCTGAGAAACAATGTCATTTTCCTATGAAAGTTCTATAGTCATACCGCAACATGGCTTTGATTAGGTACCATGGAAGTACTGAGAAGGCAGCTGCTTATTTATTCTTTAATACTGAAAGTTCAGACAGTCAGAATGAAAAATTTCAGCACAGCACTTAAAGCCGTTCAAAGAAAATGTGTTAATCGAATGTGATGACTATTACCATGTAACAAACATATCACCCATGTCATGTAGATGTTGGGGTCTGAAGAGATGCTTCTGCCTCAGGTTGAAAAACTGAGACAATCATCAAAATGTTAACATCAGTTATCTATTAACAATGGTGACTGGATCATGGATGGTTTCTGGTTTCAACTTTGTGCTTACATTTATTTCCTGATTTCTCTACAAAGAACTCCCTCATGTGAAGAAAAAATATTAATAAAAACATCCCCATCACCTAACCTCTATGAGAGCTGGACTCTTCAGCCCAAACATAGGATACTGCAAACCACAGAGAGTGACTTCACTGAGAGATAAGGAAATCTAGTTTGTGGTTGGAAAACGATAAAATTTAGAAAAAGGGAAAAGATAGAAGGAAGCCTTGAGGCCCCTCTCTCGCCTCCTCCCATCACTGACTGTCACTCGGCAATATGTGCTTTCCCCCAACAGGCTTGTCAGTGTTGTATTTGAATCCTGCAGTCCCAGACTACTCATCTCTCTACTTGTATTCCTCAGCCACTGTAGTTTCTATGAGGAACCTGCGGCTGGACACTGGGGCGATAATTCTTGCTACTGGGTTCTGAAAGAGATGAAGCAGAGAGATACCTGTGGGCCCAAGGCCCCTGTGGTAAGGCCATCCATCTTGTCTCACAAGGAGATCTCGGTGAGGATACTCTGTCGTACTTGCTAACGAGTATACCTAACCCAGGAGCTGAAACAGTGAACACGCTCTATACCAATCACCAGTTAGCATCTATTGGAAAGACTTCCCTGAAAGAAAGTATTTTAATGTGGGTAGTGGCAGAGAATCTGGTCTCCACGTTCATTTTAAATTTCTCCTCTGAATGTAAGATGTCAGTAGAGGAAGTAGGAAGTGGTACACTTGGTGTCGGAAGTCATGGGTTCTTGTCTCACCTATGCCTTCAGTAGCAGGGTGACCCTCAGTGAATTATTTTGGTCCGAAACCTGTTTTCCCCTCTGGAAAATGGGGATGAGAATTCCTCACAGTACTACAAGGCTCCATTAAGAGCATACATGAAAGTGCTTTGTACACTTACTGTGAAACTTCCAAAAGACGAAATACATTCTAGTTTATGATTGTGACTAACAATTCTTTCATTTTTTTTTTTTTAAGATTTTATTTACTTACCTGACAGACAGAGACACAGCGAGAGAGGGAACGCAAGCAGGGGGAGCGGGGGAGGGAGAAGCAGGCCTCCCGCGGAGCAGGGAGCCCGATGCGGGGCTCGATCCCAGCACCCTGGGATCATGACCTGAGCCCAAGGCAGATGCCCAATGACTGAGCCACCCAGGCGCCCCATCTTTCGTTGTTATTTATAGAGTCTACTATGTACAAGAAGAGAATGTCACTGAAGGAGACTCAAAGACAAAGGCAAAGTCCTTATTCTCAATAGTAGGTTGGCTACCAATCTAAGAGTCTGCAAAAGTCAATGAAAGCATTCTTTTAGAATCAATTGAGATACAGAATCTGCAAAAACAGAGTATGGTATAGTTTATTTTTAATGGTAAACTGTGTGCTACACATAAAGGCCTAAGGACTCTTCCCATAAATGTAAATGGGACTGATTCTTTAGAAAGATATGGGATAGAAAGAGCTAGGCTGTTGTGGTGAGATTGGTTGGAGCCTGAATGGTGCTGAGCTGGACCAACACAGGGTAGTCACTGAGCGGACACCAGGTATTTCTTTCTTTTCTTTTCTTTTTTTTAAGAGTTATTTATTTGAGAGAGAGCGAGCGCGCACAAGCATGTGTGAGTGGGAGGAGGGGCAGAGGGAGAATCTCAAGCAGATTCTCCAAGGAGTGTGGAGCCGAACACAGGGCTTGATCTCATGACCCTGAGATCACGACCTAAGCCAAAACCGAGAGTTGGATGCTTAAGCGACTGAGTCACCCAGGTGCCCCAGAAACCAGGTATTTCTAAGATTTAAATAGAACAAATCCCCTGAGACCAAATACACAGCATTTTTTGGTACCATGAGAATAAGAGAGAGGAAAGAGGAAAGAAAAATGACTGAAACGAAGTTTAAAATTGACTAGTGATAACTGGTGTCAGAAGGTCTGCTTAATCTCTTCCAGTCCACTCAGGGATCACCCTGGCCAGAAGCAACAGGTGTTTTGTTGAAAATATGGACCCTGCTGCCTTCTCAAATAACATGAGCTGTGAGGCCAAGATTAACTAGAGTTCCCCTCATTTGATGTTTTTTGCTTATTTCTTTGATAAAAATCTGATATGGAACAAGGAGGGAATTTTTTTTTTTATTTTTAAGATTTTCTTTTTTTGAGAGAGAGAGCATGAGCAGCGGGGATTGGGGGGAAGGGCAGAGAGAGAGGGAGAAGCAGACTCCTCACTGAGCAGGAAGCCTGACGTGGGGCTTGATCCCAGGACCCGGAGATCACGAACTGAGCCTAGGGCAGACACTTAACCGACTGAGCCACCCAGGCGCCCCTGGAGGGAATTTCATGACTACTCATCAAGCTCTATGCCATGAGTATATAAGTGTACTCTTCTTTGCTGCAGGACAACCAGGAACAGGCCAAGAATGTCTCTGCACAGAATTAAAATCTGTTTTTCCTGCAACCTGTTTAGACAGTGCATTCCTGGAAGGGTAGTATGTTCATCTTTATGTCCCCAGTATGTAAGACAGTTCTTAATATATTAATAAATAATTACTGAGTATCTTCTTGGACAAATCCATGTATCATCTGAATTTTCAATTCTCTTTCACTAGATAATTTTAGCCTAGATTGTAGACTGAGGCTTCATTGCATAGTGAAAATGTCACCAATGGGGAACACAAAGCTTAGATTATTAAGCCTGCCCATGAATCTAACACTGGTAAGCGCTACCATTTATTAATGAGCTGGAACTTTATGGATACACTACCTAATTCCCAAGATGGATATAACTGGCTCTACTAGCGAGGAAACCGGACTTAAGTGACTTGGCCAAAGTCAAACATCTTCCAAGTGGCCAAGTCAGGAATCAAACCTTTAGATGCCCAGCTCCAAAGCCTGCCCTCCCATCTCCACCATGGATGGAATTTCCAGCGCCTACCCTGGGAGATGGCAACTACCAGGAGGTGAGCCTCGGTCTTCAGGCCAAGTTGATGGCCTTCTCTGGCTCTGCCTGTCCCGTCATCTTAGGGCCCATTTATTTACTTCAGCACAGATATAGACAGACGCTCTATCTTACTGTATATGTATCTGTTTCTAGTGCTCTACTCAAATACATATATTCTAAAATTAAAAATGGTATCTCAAAGGTGAATTAAGCTCAATCAAATTCACAATTAATGGGGGGAGACAAAAAAATTCACAATTAATAAGGCATTTCTCCCACCATTTCTCTTTCCTAATTTGAGCAATTTAATAAGACTACCAGATTTATGAGATTCCCTACAGTGCTTTCATAGAATGGGCACTGACTGGTTATTGGCGACCTCCTGATTTCTTCTCTTTATACTTGAATTGCAAAGATTTTTTTTAAATGCAAAGTAGTATCTTGGGCTAAGACTTAGTACTAAGAAAAGAGAAAGAAAGGATGGTGCCTTTAGGAGGCAGGAAGTTCAGTGTTTATTTTGAGAGCAGAGGTGGAAATAGTTCCAATATTTTTTTTTCTTTAAATGGGATATACAGTTCAAAAGTTATAAAAAGTAAAACTCTTTTTTAACCTGAAAGTTAAATTACAGATTTTTATACTTAATTGGTATAAAATATATTACTTATAGAATAAAATATACCCATTGAATAAAATACATTATCTTTAACCTGCTCATTACGCATTACGAAGTGTTTTACAGTAAAAAGCAACAGAAATCCAGAAATGCCTGTTATAATAATGATGATTAGCCATGTATTATTTTCATACTAAAATAAAAAAATACACTAAGACCATTAATAGTTTTAGTATCTCTGGGCAATAAGTAACATTTCACTATTCTCCTTTTTTAACTTCTAGAGAAAACAAGTAACTTTATTTTTTTCAGCATTAGGTAGAAAATAATATGCATTAATGTGCATTAATGTACATTAATGAGCATTAAATAATACACAATAATATGCATTAATGCATTAATATGCATTCATTGTTATTTCTTTTTGTATTTTTGAATATTCTGATTTTTACTAACAAACATGAGACACTTGTGTATGCACAATGTACTTATATTAACGGCATTTTAAATTGTTGCATTTTTTTCTATCTTCTATCTTTAAAAAGTGTACATTTTTTTAAGCTAAAAGATATTCTTCTTATTTTACAACAGGAAAAAATTTTTACAACATAATTCCAGTTCTAAAAATGCTGCCCTTTAGACTTTCACAAGTGTCAGGAGAAATGGGAGAGACAATGTCATAGGGTACAAATATGTGCGCCTCAGAGGTGAGGAGGGAGGGATTCTGGCTGCACTCTGGGGCTCAGAGTTTGCTCTGCGGGGGAGATGCCAGTCATGCGCCTTTAAAGTACTCTTGAACAGACAGG